CCCCCCCCCCCCCCCCTCTTGCCCCCGGCCCCGGCACCGCCGCCCCCTGCCGCACCCGCGCGTCCCTGCGCTGCCGCGCCCCGCGCTCCGCGGCCTCCTCCTCCCGCCGCCGCTGCTGCTCCTCCCGCTGCTGCTCCCGGCGCTCCGTCAGCTGGGCACAGGGCAGAGCGGGGTGTTACTGGGGATGGGACCCGGCTGGGCGCAGCTCTGGGCTGGGTGCTGTACCTGCGCCTCCAGCTCCTGCCTGCGGGCTGCCTTCTGCTCCTCCTCCTGCTGCTTCTCCTGCCTCCTCAGTTCTTTGGCCTCTTCGAGCTCTTTAATCAGCTGCTCTCGGTATTTTATAGACTCCTCTTGGGCTCGTCTGTTTAACTCCATCTTCTCTTGGATCTGGCGCTGCCTGCCTGCAAGGACCTGTGTGAAGTGAGAGGATGAAGGGAGAAGATGAGCCAAGAAAGGGGCCAGGCTTAGAAGAGCTGAGGAAATCACAGTGCAGATGGTTACACAGTTCTCAGAAAATGTATCAGATAAGCAGAAAACTTCTGTCCTGTAACCCTCTGAGGATGGTCGTGCTGACAAATGGTTTCACTGCACCACGAGAGACACCTCATCCAAAAAGCTCGTCACCTCAGTCATCAGGCAATCTCTGGCCTTCTTCTCTCTTTCCCATTCTTCTTCTCTCTTCTCCCACATTTTTTTAGCTTCTTCTCTAAAGGAGAAAGGAAGAATTACCTCTAAGGTCACTACTTACAGTGACTTCTGTACGCCACAGGCATAGACTCTGTAGCAGGACTCCTTGGATGTGCCCACCTGCCCCAGGGACAGGGGGCCCAGGCAGGCAGTTTGCCTCTGGATGGGGACATTGCCTCACACAGGGGGTGGGTAGCTGAGGCTGCTTTTATCTACAAGGTCTGAGATACAAAAGGAAACAAAATACAGGTTTTTGGGGTCACTTAGACTAAAACCCTCTGACAAGGGGGCAGAGCTCACTTCTACTGCAGAGCTTCTGGAATGGCAAAGCCAACTGGACACCGCTTTCCAACGCCCACTTTCCAAGCTTACTTAACAAACATGAACTCCAGGCAGGCAGGAGCATTCAAGCACACACGGTCTTGAGGAATGATGCTCAGAGGTGGGCAGACTCACCTAAAAATAGTGTGCAGCTCAGCCTCCCTCTCCTTTTCTAACTGGAGCTGTTCCTCAATGACACGTTTCATCCAGGCGACGTCGGCGACGGCTCGTTCCCGCCGCGCGGACCGGAGGCTCTGATCCTCCTCCTCTTCCTCCAGGAGAGCTGACAGGATTTTCTGGTCTGCCTCCTTGGGACAAACCACAGGATTAACAGCAGGCCTGCAGCCTGTGCACAGGGCTGCTCTCTACAAATAGCTGCTGACAGCCAAGGGTGTGCTCAGGGAGATGCTCAGTCTGCTGCCTTCCCCAGGGCTCTTCAGCAGCTGGAAGGGGCTTCCTAACTAATTATCTGTAGGCATCAGAGCCAGGCACATAAACCAAACACAAAGAGCAAGTTTCTTCAGCACAGTGTCTGTAACATTTAAATCAAGGGGTACTTTCTCTCACCAGCTCCTCCTGTATCTGCTGGGCTCGCCTCTGCAGCTGGACATCACACTGGTGCCTCAAAATGCGACTGAAGGAGAGAAACCAGAAAATATTCAAACTGCCTCCAACGCCCCATGTCCCTGCACAGCAGCACTCATGAAGGTGCCTCTGTGGCAACCTCACTGATGGGCAACAGGGGGACCTGCTGCTGCTAACAACAAAAAGAACAACTGCATCAAATGCTCGTTGGCTGTTCTGGGCACTTCTGTCAAAAACCACACATAAACAACCCACCACTGCTCTCTGAAATATCTCCTCATGCCAGACACAGGAACAGATTCTGTCCAAGCCCTGCTGAAACAAGCTACACTCCAGCTCATACCCAAGTTCTTTCTTCTTCCGTTGCTCTTCCATTTGTTTTCTTTCTTCCTCCAAGTTTTCCAGCTCCCACTGC